GCGGTCGATCTTCGCAATGTAGGCGTGAAGGTCGGCAACCTCTACTCCGACGTCCATCAACGGAGTCGGTACTGCAGTGTGCAAGTAATCCCGCAGTTGTGCCATGAGCACGTTGCAATGCGGTTTCGGCAATCGTCCGGTCGAGGGAACGGGCATCCATTGGAAGTCCGCGAACGTCAATGGGTCGAGCTCTTCAAGTCTTGACCATGACGTCGAATCCCCGGCGATAGATGGCGGCGAAGATGCCAAATCGGTTGCCGATGGTGATGAAACCGTGCATGCGGTTGATTGTTGCACGTGGAGCGGTGGTCCAACTGTGGAACCAAGTGGACAGCATAGTCCTCGTAAGTGTATCGAGAACTTACGACATTCGCATCCTCCCCAGATGTGCAGGAGGCCGCTAGCAAGGCAGCCGAATCTGGCGGAGTGGAAGGTAGAGTCGCCTCACCTCCCGCGAAACTCAGTTTCCCGAGTTGAGACGGGGTCGCACATCCTCCTTGGCCTGATCTTGGCAAAGGGAGGTCTTGTGCTTGGTGCTGTTGCACCAGTAGCAGCACCCGTAGCGGCAGCGGTACTTGTACTCCGCCTCGGTCAAGCTAAACTTGACCCATGGTGCTGGCTGTCCATTTCCGGCTTGCGATGCTGGTTTCGCCTTCCCATTGTTCCGGGACTTGTTGTTGCTTCGCGGCTGGACAACAGCCACCTGATCTTCGTCACGTGATGCTGGAGTGGCTGCTGGGTCTTCTCCACTGTCCGATTGGACTGCAGCGAAGTGTTGCGGTCGCGGACCAGTCTTTACCTTCTCCACATAGGTCGGCTGCCACGTTGACTTCTCGTGTGCAGCTGCCCTGTTGGTCTTGATGATCTCTCTCGGCTTGTCAATGATCTCGGCGAAAGTGGTATACTGCTCGCGATCACCAAGTGCCTGGCTCAGCGCAGCGCATGACCTGTTGTAGAACTCACTGCGTAGATGCGTGAATGGTAAGTCCAGATCGGGCACGACCGCGATCTTCTGCCATTCCGTGAGCCAGTCACGTGTTGTTGTGTTGCCTTGAGACATGGTGAAGAGACGGTTAATGGCGAGTGCTGGTGCGTCGTCGACGCTGAACCGCTTCTTCCATAGCCGTGTTAACTCTTCCCATGTAATCTTGTCTTTCAGATCCGCGACGTCGACGCCGTGGGTGGCTGCCAGGTGGGTCAACCAGGTCTGGCATCCGCCCTTTGAGTTAAGAAACAGGGCGTCGATGTACGCGTGCTTGGCTACAGGCAAAATCCGCAGTTGCGTCGTGAATGCTTCCCACCAAAGGACCGGATCCTGATGTGTGTAGTCGTCGAACTTTTCCAGTTGGAAAGTTGGCATCTTGTACACCTTTGGATTGCCATCCGAGTTCGTCGACTGCAGTTGCTGGACCTCGGTCTTCAACGTGTCCAGCTGGCTGCTGATGGTGGTTGGCGCCGCGAAGGTGCTGATGTCGCCCAGCATTGCCACTACGTGGTCAACGCGTTCCTCCAGTTGGCGGCTAGAGGGTGCACTGCTGGAAGCCCCAGCATCTGGTCCTGGTACAGCCTGTTCCAGGTCCAGTACACGGGAATTGAGTGCCCGTGTTGCATCCTCGTGGCTCTGCACTATCCGGCGGAGGTTCGCCAACTCCTGGTGCTGTGTCTTCAGATCCTGGTACTGTTGCTGCAGTTCCTGGTTCTGTCTCTCTAACTCGGACTGTTGGTAGTTGCAAGCGTACAACAACCGTGTCACGAGTTTGGAGAGGAACTCCTTATGCTGCTCTTCCGGTGTTGTGTCATCGCCGTTCGGTTCAAAGTGCCAGAACTTGAGTCTCTCGATGCTGTTGGCTTCATGCCGCTGCAGCAGATCCTGGGCTTCCTTGCGGCGAGCCTGGGCATCTGCGTCTGCTTCGGCCTGTAGCCGCAGCTTCTCTGCTGTCGCCGCTGCTTCAGCCTGTAGGCGGGCAGCCTCGGCTGCCAGCTGGCGTTGTTCCTCAGCCTCGATGAAAGCGAGCTGAGCCTGGAAGCGCTGTTTGTAGTTTGCAATGGACTCATTGGCCAGTTGGCCTGGCAGGCCCATTGCTGGACCCGTCATGCTGACGTGGCACTGTGACTGTCCTGGCACTGCTGACGTGGCACTGCTGTCGTGGCATTGTGGCTGACGTGGCACTGCTGACGTGGCACTGCTGACGTGGCACTGTGGCTGACGTGGCACTGCTGACGTGGCACTGCTGACATGGCACTGCTGACGTGGCACAGTACCAACTTGGAAATGCATGCAAAGGGTGGGTAGGGAGGGAAAACGCAGGTAGGGAACCAACCCAACAATACTTTCCTCCTGGCCCTAATCAACAGATAAAATAAAATAAAAAAATAAAAGAGGACTACTTCCTTTTTTTTTCTTTTTTTTTTTTTGTATATCTGTCGATCTATTATGAGTGAGACATGTCAGAAGAGTAGTATGAACGAGCTCCAGGCTAGGTTCCGCAAAGTTTCGGCTTTCACAAAATGCGATATTGAAAAAATTTTGCAAGGTAGAATAGAGATGCGATTTTCAGAAATGAACTAAATCCCGTTTCTGAGAATATGGCAATCTCCGAATATGCCTATCAAAATGTTGGTAGGCTTCGCAAGATTTCGGTTTTCAAAAAAAAATTGCGAGATAGAATGGAAATTTGATTTTCAGAAAAGAATAATTCCAGTTTCCGAGAATATGACCACTTCTATCGTTATCCCAATATGCCTAGAGAACGAAATACTAACATCAGAAATTTTCAGCTATGTATGCGAAATATCAGAGAAACGAAATGCTACTATCGGGAATTTTCAGACAAAACGAAATGCGATTTATCAGAAATTTCCAGATATTTGTTACGTAAAAAACGAAATACTTATATCAGAAATTTTCAGGTAAAACGAAGTGCGAATATCAGAAATTTCAGATAGTTGTTGCGAGAAAAAAATTTCAGAGATTTGACGAAGCCCTACTTGATTTACTAACGAGTAATCGATAGATCAAGGAAGCTGGCTATTTGATTGAGCGGGTCCTCTGAATGAGAGGTCCGCTCCGGTACCAAACTGTTGCATACTGTAACGGTGCAGACCAGAACAAGAACCGACCTCTCAATACAAAGTATAAGATAGCACAGCGGAAGACTTAGATACCAATGATCCAAACAATCAATATTACAATGCAGCCCTGAACATACATCATCATCATCGTTACACGGTGTGAATGGGGTCTGGCGCTTCACACAGGAAGACTGCGCCAGCCCCTACCACACACAGACGAAGAAGAAGGGGTTAGACGAAGAGGAGAGGAAGATGGGAATGTCGTCAACACCAAGTCTTCGGCACAGCCCAAATAGTCCCTCGTCGAACTGTCTGAATCCCAAATGTCAAGTCTGGATCCAATGTCGTCAAGTCCCAAGTCACAACTCTCTCTCTGTAGTAGTCCGCTGATACTGAGAAGTCAGGTGGTGAGAGGGGAAGAAGAGATGGTGGACTTAGAAGAGGAAGAAGAAGAACTCTCTCTCTCTCTGTAGTAGTCCGCTGATACTGAGAAGTCAGGTGGTGAGAGGGGAAGAAGAGATGGTGGACTTAGAAGAAGAGAAAGAAGATCTCTCTTTCTCTCTCTCTCAGTCCAGTACTAACCTGTGAAGTTGGCGCCTTGATGCAGGTACCTCGAAGATGGAGCTGGAGCTATGGCACCACAGGTAAGTCTGGCTGGCCTCCGCCAGCCATCTCTCCCAACTCTACTATCTACCACCTACTAGCGCCCAGCGCTGAAGACTACTGCTATGGCTACTAGCGCCCAGCGCTGAAGACTACTGCTAGCGCTAAGCTACTCCCTGCAGCGCTCCTCCTGAGTGCTGCGCTGAATCCTGAAGACTACTCGTGCCTACTGTCCAACTACCTACCCGTGAAGTGCATGGGAACTTCCTAYGTACTACMGGGTGCCTCCTGACTGCAGGCGAGGCAGTCCAGGAGGCTGCTCTTGCCAATGCCGAAGGGAGGCAGGGGCTGCAGCTGCAGCTCCTGCTCGAGCTGTCGTGGGGAACAGGCTATTTCTGCCCTGTTCCCAAAACCCTGCTTTTGTGCCTGAGTCTTAGGGTCGGTCGAAACGATGAGGGCCTGAAAATGGCCCTCCGTTTCAGGCTGATAAACCTCTGGGCCTGAAAGGCCCAGAAATAGGCTGAAACGGAATAGGGCCTGCAGGCCCTCGTATTTCAGCTTTCAGGCTGAAACGACCGGGACCTGTAAGCCCTATTTTCTAGGCTTTTAGGCTGAAAGTGCGGGACGGGCCCTGCAGGGCCCGTGTGGCTACGCATTATGCCACAGTTGAGGACTCCCTCCAGTAGAGTAGGCTTGGTGGGTGAAGTGGAAGGAGGTAGGAGAGATTTGTGTTGTCCTGTGAACATCCGCGCTAGGCTTGGATGAGCCACCATAGTCAGATGTCATACCAAGGAGGAAGAGAGGTGTAGGAGGTCAAAGGAGGGCTGTGTATGTCGCTGGAAGTTAGGGAGAGTAAGTGGACATTTGATTATGGCTCTTTCATTCACTGTTGTTGTTATTTATATATAAAATATAACAAGATGATGGTAAACTGACAGCTTTTCCAGATAAGTTAGGCTGGATGAAGAGGCAAATAAGAAAGAAAGGCCAATTAAGATCAAAGTGAGGGGGAGACGGTGGAGGCGAGATTACGGAGAGATGACATTGCTCCCAGCTTGTGTTTATCTTCGTCTTCTCCTTATATTTTTCAGTCTTCTTCCTCCCTTGTCTTGTTCTGCCCAATTTATTTCATTTGACTTGCAATTGAATGGCAATGTCTCTTTGTGAGTATTTGCATTGGGAGCTGACCGGGATCATAAAAAAAAGAAAAGGGAGAACCGACTTCAGAGCGGATACGTTTTGCAGGAAACCCGGCTCGTTGTGGATATGTGTTGCTGTAGAAGATGAACGACCGTGGGAAAACTCGTGCTGCTGGAGAGATTCTCTCATCACGATTTGTAGTATGCTTGAACGCTGCTCCACTTCTGAAGCTCCCGACAGCCGTTTCCGTTTCTCCTTCCCTTCCTATATGCTGTTCTGCCAACTCTTGTTCTCGAAATCTCCAACTTCCTTCTTGGGTTCCTCCCGGGGACTTTCCTTGTACTCCTTGGATCATAGGTTCAGAAATTGAAGCTACACCAATGGCGATTTTCCCTGTTGCCTGTGGAGCAGAAGACAGTTGACTTCCAGACTCCATTACTCTCATTGGCTCCACTCCTGTTTCTGTGCCAGACTTCGTTTCTGTTCCTGGTTCCATTCCTGCTTCTGTTCTAGGACCTCTTTCTGCTCCTGGTTGCACTCCAGACTCTGTTACTGCTCCTGGTTTCACTCCTGCTGTTTCTGTTTGAGACTCTATTTTTGTTCCTGGTTCCAATCCTGCTGTTCTAGACTCTGTTTCTGTTCCTGGTTCCATTCTTTTTCCTGTTGTCTTTCCTGTTCCTGTCCTTTTTCGTGCTCCCTTTCCCTCTGCACTCCTTTTCAACACCCCAGTAGAAGCTTGTGTTTTTGTAACATCTGCTACAATTCCCGTTTCTGTTCCCATGCCTCTTACTATCCCCATTCCCACTCCTCTTACCATTTTGGTACCTGACCCTCTTAACATTTCCGTTCCTCTTGTGATTTCTTTCCCTGTTTCCACTACCGTTTCCGCTTCGCTTTCCACATTCATCCTCCCAACAGCTTTCCATAGACCACCATGCCTCTCATCTGCTGATCTGAGATCATTCTCACTTTGTTCCACACAATCTGCTCCGTTGGTAGCCACCTGGAGACAAAATCTCACTTTGAAGGCTTGGCTATCTGTGACATTTTCAACTTTCTCATCCACATCCATTGGCTTTGATGCAGATGAGTTTTCATTCATTCTCCTTTGCCTTCTTTTCCGAATATGCTTAGTAGGCCGTGCTCGTTTCTTTCCTTTACAGATCTGTTGGAGGCATGGCTCACTTATCCTTGCCGGAGGTTCCCCTGAATTACTGCCACTCTCCACCTTGGAGTCTACAGGTTGTCGATCTATACCCTGGGTTTCACTGCTTCTGTGACCAGATCCTCTGTTAGCAATGCTTCTGCCGTCTGAAGCACCGTGCTTCCCCCTTGTTTTTCCCTTTTTCTTTTCCTCCGTCACAGCTGCCTGTTTGCTCTTCTTGACCCCTTCTTCCTCCATCATAGTTGTCCTTCTCCTCTTCTTTCCTCTTTTAAGCCCTTCTTCTTCCCAGACATTTCTAGACCTATTTGTCACAGTCATCCCTTCACCCAGAGCAACAGAACCAGGCCTGTGACCACCAGAATTCTCTGATTGATAATCTAATCCATTGCCATGTCTTGTGTTTCCTCCTGCACAAAAACATTTTTGCTCAAGGGAGTGTTTCCTTGCAATTCTTGTGTGCCGAAATTGCTGTACAGCAGTTGTAATCGCAGGTCCTGCCACTTGCAAGAATGATCCGTGAGGAAGAGGCATGAAAATGACACAACGGGAGAGAAGATACAGCAACATGGAATGCCCAATCTGCACTCCAAAAGACAACCAGGTCATCAAACATAGATAGTCAATGGGCAACAAGAAATGAAGCCTCCACACGTACACGAATGTTACACAACCTTGCCGATCAATGGATACATCCACGGCGCTGTTCATAAACAGATCACCATGGCTCATCAGTTCAAATATGTAGGCAGGGAAACCTTTAACCAGCCCCGTGGCTGAATGGTACATACATGGAGCTGTTGGTAAACAGTCCATGAGTTTTAAATTTAAATACTGATGAATACGATCATAATAGGAGAGGGGGGGGCAGGGAAATCTAGGGAATCCTTAACCTCTGCAAGGTCTGTACCTAGTAGAACCAGATCCAGTGGCCCTGTGCTGACAGGCATCATCACATAGAGGCAGAGCGAAAGTGGTAAGAAAGCACTGTGTAATGACCCGCCAAAAACACAGACTGAGAACACTGCTGATTTCTGGGATTTGCCGCTGGAATGAATGCCTTGCTGAAATTCCCGCATTCTGCTGTGATTTCCATGTCTGTGTGTGTGTGCGTGCCTGCTGGTTTGCATGCCTGTATGAGTGCTTGTCGGCTGAGTGTGTGTGTGACCCGCAAGGGTACTTGTTGGTTGAAAGGCCCCGCAGGGCCGGTACTTACCTGTGGCC